TCTTGCCTCTCTTCATTTTTACAATTGAGAATTTTTGCATTCGGTAATGTATGGTATTCTTTTCAAAATTTGTAGCTGTTCCTTTTCCGGCGGTTCACTGTGTGGTAACCTGGATTTCAAACAAAAAAAAAAAGTGAGGTAAAAAAGAGACTAGAGAAATATCTGAACGGATAATTTTTCTTTATTATCTGTTAGGTATGTATCCAACCTGTTTTGTTGAAACATATTTACAGTTTACTGCATCACTTACATTTGATAGAAAAAAACTTTAAATCATCCCTTAAATCTTTTTTTCAGCCTCTTCATCTCTGAAATAGATGTTGAGGCCATGGAAGTTTTCAAATTATTTATCCAAATATGAACAAACAAATTGAAGTAGGAGAAAGGATGAAAGAGAAAAAAAGGCCATCGAAGAAGATGAATTGTCATTTCCAATCACTTTTGCAAATCAAAAAGAAAATTCTTTTTCTCACTTACTGGGAGGGAAACTAATGTTTTAACAGAAATGATTTTTCTTCCTACCCCTTAATTTGTTTTTGACCGCTTCTAGTCTATTTTTTTCCCGGAATTTAGAAATGAAAGTTTATTTAGTGGAAAGTTAAGTTTCTTTGTACTACCGTTTCTATTTGTAGTTGTTAGTTTAGGTTAGTTTATAGTTTGGTATCTCATAACGAATCCCTGAAATTTGTTACATAGTGAAAGCGATGGAAGGCTTTGTAAAAAGATGCGGGTCTTTCCGCAATACTTCGTTTTACATCTGCCTTATGATTTTTAGATGGAATGCGTTTCCGAGTAGATTTATTTTTTTATTAGTGCTTGAACAGTAGTTGGTAGGTCTCACGTGTAGAGTGGCCGAAATTCAGAGACGATGGGCAACTGGGATTGCCTGTAGTCAGTTTTTATTGTGGGAAGAAATAAGTGCAAAATTTTTTTATATTTTTGTAGCATCTTTATTGGTGAATCCAAATTTTAGCAAAATTTTACTTCTGCAGTATCTGTTTTAGAGGTATAAATTGGTAAAATATTGCTTAGGATGAAAAGTAGGTATCAAGGATATTTGCGGTTGATTTTGATGGAAGAAAAGAGGGTTGAGGTTTTATTGGCATAAAACTCTCATCTTTCATTACTTTTCTGTCGACTGATTTTTACTCAGATTTGCATACTATGCTATTGAAAATAGTTGGCCCCGCAGCAGTGTATTCGTTGAAAAAATACATTGTTCTTTTCTTTAATTGGTCTAGTTGAGAAATTTGAAATTGATTGACTAAAGACCGATTTATAAGTCGAGATTTGCTAGTGTACCTAAAGGCTCACTGTTCTTTACAGAACTGAGAGCCATCTTCTGTTCCAATAAATAGGTTTTATAGGGACAAAAAAAAAAAACTGTTTTGATTTGATCTCTTTCAGTAGGTCAGATAAATAGCTATCTCGCTTTTCGACGAGATAGAAAGTGGTATCGTCCCTGATTTTTACAAATCTAATTTTAATCTTTTTAGATGGTTGAAAGCAACGTCGTCTTCAAATTTAGACCAACAATCGTTAAACAGCGATTGTGGTTATCGTGCATTTGTAGATTCAAGTGCCTACAAATCGATATTACCTGATGACATATCGTTTCTAATGCCACCTGCCCCGCCTCGTGCTGCGACTAGGTACGTGAACGTTTTTTCACGGTCTTCTTTATCAGCGACGAATTTTTAATGTCACTTTTTAATTTTGACGTGAAGAAACTTATTTCCGAAGTTTATTTTAGGTTACCTACACCGTTATCTTCGTCACTTACCTCTCTGAATTCAACTGTAAGTTGTTCATCCGGCAGCACTTGTTCAGCCCCGGCAGCCACAAGTACTATTGGTATGCTTTTTTTATATTATCAATTTTCTTTTGTTCTGTTGATAGTGTATTTTTGTTTTTTATTCGTTTACTTTTACTTAGAGAAAGAGAGAAAGTCACTCAAGTTCTACATGTTTTGTTTGACAAATGCAAGCAAAATAAATTTTATTTGCTTTTGATTAGTAATTGTTTATAAAGCTTTATATGCCCCTTATGTAAATTTGAGTAGTACACTTATTTTGACTGTGAGAATGCAATACAAACACATTTTTCTTTGGATTTTTTAGAGAGCGTTTTGGTTCACTATAGTTCTCTATGTTTTGACTGTTTATTAGTTTTTTTTTACTTCCAAAAGAATTTTGCAGTTTTTTCTTTACCATTTTTGTTGTATGAATATAATTCTTTATTTTTTTTTCGATTACTGCTTAGAAGAATGTTACTCTACTTACAGTGTTTATTTCGGAATTTATATTACTTCCTTTCGGCAAAAAACGCCTTTTTTTTCGGATTTGTACAAGAGTTTTCTGCACCTGTGACGGAAAGAGACAATGACTTTCAAATTTTCTTTAGGTGGAAAACCAACAGTGGAGGTTCACCCCATGCCATCGAAACAGCAGAACGTTCCTTCCGGCGTGGATCTAAGAACATCGCCTGATCTTATAACTGAGAAAGTTCGTGAAAAACCGGCAGTTCCTAAGAAGCCATCCAAATTATTGCTTTCTTCGCGCTTCGAGTCGTCGACTAACAAACCAGCTCCTCTATCCTTGAACATAAATTCTCTAAGTGTTACACCATCTTCCCCACAGCCAAATATTTTGACTCCACAGCCAGGAAGTTTGACATCTTCACCATTTCCAGATTTAATTAAACAACCTTCTCCTTCAACAAGCAGGTGACTTTTTGCTGTCGTTCGTATTACTTCCTCAGTAATATAGAGCATTCTTTACTTTACCGATATCCCGAATTTTTTGTTCACGTGGTTTTTTTAAATTGGAGCACGGATACTTCTTTTTTTTTCGGAACGTCTATAATTTTTTGCAGGATATATTCGACACCGTCTCTAATGTGCCTGCATACAGCTCTTATGCAACCGAGCCCAACTAAAGAAGAACTGGAAGATTTGGAAGCAAGAAGACAAAAGGTTCAAATTTTTCAAAATTAACACAACAACATATCATTCTAATTGTATGTCTCTCTAGTTCTAATTGGATCGGGCACTTTTATTTTGGATTAGTTATGGACTATTCTGGCATCAGTGGCTCTCGTTAAAGTAGTTTTTATCTGGTTAGGGTTTAATCTGTTAAGGTGTCGAGAAGCTAATAGCATTTGCAATTAGAAGTATTTTTAACAGCCAGCTCTTTCGTAATTCTGTTGTTTAAAGAGCGGCCACCACATTTCTTGCATTGGGGATCAACAAATATGAGCGATCTCATTTCTAGCGAGGAAGAGAGCAATTTTTGGGCGTTGATTTTAGTGCGCTTTTAGGATTATAGAAAAAGAGAAAGTTAGTAAGAGGATATATACAGGGTATAAAAAGATTTATCAATTGTTATTGTTGTCAAGTTGGTGATTTTTAATTACATTGATCGGAACTGTCTTCACTAGCAACGGGGTTTTTTGAAAATATTTTTGCTGATTATTTTCTGCGGTCCCCTCTCGGCTCACTTGGTTTCGGCTGTTTTGTAACTGTCGAATGTTGCTTGGGGTGGCGCTGCTAGGCAGTTAAAAAAATCGTTTTTATGTGAAACTTATCTGAGATTCAGTTTTTTTTTATTTTTTGAATGATGATGCTGACTATTCATCGTATAGCATTTGTTTCTCAGCATTAATTATCTAGAATGAATTTTTTTACGGCAATTCAACGATCTCGTCAGTTCTCGAGAACCATTTTTTTTATTAGCGAATAAGATATGAGCTTTCTATTTTTTTGATAAATACTTCTCAGCTAACCTGCAAATGCCTTGTTATTTTTGCTTTTAAGAGTCGCTCTGCCTCTTTTTAATGTGAATATAGGAAGTATATATTGCCTCAATAATTTCAATCTGTTCTTAGCACTGTTGATATCGTAGCTTCATAGGTGGATGTGTTGTTTTTGGTCATGCCGTGATCACTTAGAATTAACATTAGACTGATAGGAAAACTTGACCTGAAGTTTAGAAAATTTAGATGTTTCAAGGAAAAGGTATCTAAGGATTTTTAAAGAATAGAAAGAGAGTATTGAGTTTTAAGATGACATTGTCTTTAACTGCATCAAGCGGAAGAAGTTGGTCAGAGTTGACAGTTATCGCTTTCTTTGCTGTTATTAATTCCATAATAGCTTAACATTACTTGAGTGAAGGGATTTTAGTGATTGTTGTAAACCAAGCATTTTTTAGTGTGCAGAGTCAGTGCTCTAATTAACTTTTGTTTTCTTTCAAAAATAACTAAGGACAACATCAATTCCTCTTGCAGTTGTTCGGAGTATTTGCGAAACTGAAGTTCAATCAGACCTCTCATTTATCCATTTTCAGCTGATAGAATCAATTTCACGTAAGATTGGTACCCTCGATAAAGAAAGGTTGGTGTTAGAACAAGAATTTGCTGCTAATGATGCGTTAAGGAAACCGATATGTGATGAACTAAATGAGCTTGGTGCTCAGGCTCTTGTGGGAAAAATTGAGCGGAACTTTATTCAAAACGCACAGCTTATCATGTAATTCTTTTATATAATTTTTTCATTTCTTCATGTAAAAGTTATAAATTTTTGTGATTTTTTACTCGATTTAATGCAAAAATCACAACTGAAATAACATAGCAGTAAATTGAAGTTACTGCTTCATTATTTCGGATCCTTGTTTCACCTAAAATATCTGTTTTAAATACTTATTAAATAAATACTTATTCTGGTGACTGTTTTTTCGACAGCCTTAGCTTTTTTAAGGCTAGAAACCAAACTGCGTTTGCAAATGGAAAGGTATGAAACTATGTTAGTTAGCACTGATACTCATGAGAAAGAAATGCATGATGCGCGAGTAGTACGGTTGCGAAAACAAATTGAAGATCATGCAGTCCTTCGAAAGGCTTTCGATAGGAGAGATGCTGAAGTTGATAAACAGGTTCAGTCAGCCATTAGTGAGGGCCGTTTAGCTCAGTGGAGGTAAGCAATGGATTTTTTTCGGTGCGTACAATGTTCAGAGTATTTGTCCTAAACTCCATTACGTTAACCGTACTTGTTTTAAAGTGCCATTGTATTTCAGGTACTATAAAGAAGTATGGAGGAAGTTAACTGCGGAAAGAAAGGAGATAGATGAACGCTTAGCTCTGAGTCGGGAACAGTTAACTGCACTTCAGAAAGTGCAGCCAGCGATCTAGTCATTTACTTATAATAGCTTTATTTTGAATGTTATTTTTACATGTATACATATTTATATATACATATATATATATAAATATTATGTGGGAAACTTTAGATATTAAAAAGTATTTTATTAACTGTCTCTTAACAAAACACCTAGCTCTATCTTGCAAGTCCTATTTGGGATCATCGTTGCAGAATACTTATTGATATATTCGAGGAGTAATGGGAGAGCCTTCGGGCCTGTATGCGAGACTGGGATTTTCGTTATACAGCGGTAGCAGGATTGGTTGCACAAATGTAATTTACGAACCTTTGCTGTAAAACGAGGAGGCGTTCGAGCTTACGCTTTTTCAGGGGTGGCTCGCATTTTGTAATTAGGAAAGCTAGTTTTGTGATTCGCATGCTAAAAAGAACTAGGATCTTTGGTGGTTCTGTGACGGAAATTGGCGCATAGTGAGAGTTTGTAAATGCAGGAGGTTTAAAAATATCGGGTCCGCCTGTGGTGCTACCTGTTTCTGGCCCTTAACCTGTTTTTGAGCAAAGAGTTTGTTGTTAAAAATCAGTAAACGTTGGCATATTTTGGAGGATTTACTATAACTGATAAACCTCTATGGATAGGACTGTTGCTCATTTAGCGTCGTAAAAGATAAGCATATACGGGGGTTTATTGAAAGCAGAAGATGGAGATAAAGGTCACAAGAGGCATTTTCTCTTGGTGAGGTGCTAGAACAGCAAAGAGGAAGTCATTCTTGGGTGACTTTAGTAATTGTTTTTTACTGCAGCTCATTGCAGAGTTGTATTTTTGCATTTTTTTTTTT